TGCCCGTCATCTCTTGGCTGAGACTTCCAGCAGCACTCTGCTTTCCTCTGCCTTTCGGGTTAATACAATCTGCTGGTGATGGACAGAGTCTCTGAGGAGCTGCATGATTCAAGACTCCTTGCTGTCTTTCAAACATGCTCTGTGAGAACTGGATAGCACCAAATACCTTTTACAAACTGGAATGACCTAGACTGTTCATTTCCTCGCATCCACAGCCTGCTGATGTAAAAAGTAAATGTTACTAGAAATGTAACATATCGTGTTGCTGAACTGAAAAGTGCCATGTGAGACGCATCGAATCATTGATATGTTTTTTTTAATTAACAATTCTGTGTCCTAATTAAAACCATGAAATTGTGATAGAATTGCTAAAAGAAGAAAAGGCTTGTGTGCCGGATGTGAGGCATACTGCTAAGGTTTCCTAGTGTGAAAGGAATGTTTAACATTTTTGTAGGGATGCACTGATACCAACACCAGTATTGTTTACCCGTTTGATACTGTGTTCATGTAGCTACTCTGATAACAGCTGTCACACAATGCTAACCTCTCCTCTAGGAGTTGGCTCTCCCACTAGTTTGTGAAGTCCTGTTCCCAAAACTTTGAGTTCGGTGTTATGAATGTCATCAGCATTTTTGAAACCAGACATCACAAGCACAGCTGTGAAACTGAAGGACACTACATGTTTATAGGGTAGCTGCTTTTCAGTCCGCAAGTAAGCCCACCCTAAAGCATATTCTACTTTACTGTTCTTGTGGACACTTATTGGGACTAAAATTTGTAAAATAAGAATTGTGTTGTGTTCATTAGGATTTAAAATGTGTGATTGAGATCATAAACTCATCAGGAACGTTGTTGCTGTGGATTAAGGCCTTTCTAGGCTGCCACAGGGCGAGAGGAAGAGGACACCCTTGGTAGTCTATTGAAGACTCAATTAGAAACAGCAACAGAGGCAGCAAGACAACATACCCAGTCACTGCCCAAAGTCTGCAAATCCAAATGATATCAGATGGCCTTAAAGGAACATCAGTTTGATGATAAGGAGCCAACTGAGCATTCATGTTACAGGAAACATTTATTTGAATTCTGTAATTAAGTATCTCTGTTCTTAGTATTGGCAAGTACCCTAATGTAAGTTTGATTGAAAAAAAAGAAGAAGGTATTTGTGGATCCCTACAGTTTTGGAAACATGATTGTTTACTGGTACCAATTTCACACCCATGCCAAAAACTGGCATCAGAAGGCTTTCAACATAAAATTAGCTTAGCGTGAAGACTGGAAGGTAAAATATAATTATTTAAAAAAATAACCCCAGTAATGACCCTAAACACCTCCACACATCCTGCGTTGAATTTTTGCTCATTGTTAGCTAAACAGAGCAGAAACGGCTATCCTGATCCTTTAAGGAATCTGGCCTAATATCTTGCTAGCGTTCTAGCAAGATTACAGTCTTTGCTATAAAATGCAACATAACCCACTACAATTTAATTTAAAAAAAATTCTAGAGATAATGTAGTAACTAGCTTCAAATGTGTTTGTAGAGGCATCTTTGAACTTTAATTAGGGGCAGGCAATTAGCTTTCCTTCTCTGGTAGTTTTTATGCTAAGCTAGGCTCCAACTCTGTAATTAATAAAACATTTTTTCCAACCTCACTCTTGGAAACTGAAGAAAGTGTATTTCCTAAATTACTGGGACATTACTATTCTTCCCATAATTCCCCTGAAAAATTTGGGTGTGTTTAAAAAAAAAAAACAGTTTGAATCCTTTTCATCAAAGTTTTAGCTCAGATTTCACAGTAATGTCAGTTCGACTGCTGGCTGTGAAATGCCAATCAGATTCTGTCAGGAACAGCCGCCCCTGGTCTTCTTTGTTTAAATTAAATCACATGAATGTCTCAAAGTTAATGCTGTTAAGGTTGATTGATGCCTAAATACTATTTAATTATTAGAATGAGCTGATCATATAAACCTAATGAAGTGACAACATGCGTTTTCTCCTCCGTGTATATGAGGAATGTAATGAAGTTTGGAAGTGGCCCACATCAAGTAACAACACTCCTGACAAGCAGCCATCAATAATGTAGCATCTGTGAGCTGACAACAAAGGAAACCCATCTGTCAGCAGAGAAGGAAAAAGAAATGGAGAAGCTGGTATATAAGCGGTACAACACAGGCGGCCACTTTCACTGTTCTAATGTGCAAAGAGCTCTTTTCCTGACAGCAGTATTGTCCTGAGCACTGAAGTTTAGAGGGGACTGTATGTACAGTTGTGTTTGATGTACACACAAGAAATAAAAACAAGCCTTATTATCAGGATTCAACAGCTTTTATTTCAAATGACTCACTTGTAAAACAGGCATCAGGAAAAAAAAAAGGAGAAAAGAAAGTAAAAGATCTCAAAAAGATAAAACCATATTTTTAGAGTCATTAAACAAAGATGATCACAGAAAATTTCCTGCGTATTTACAGTTTTAATGCATAAAACATCTTTTTCCCTGTACTAGGCACCATAAAATGTAAACACACTGGAAATAAACCTGGATGACATTAAGTTATTAAGAATATGTTGTTATAAACGTTCTCCCACAGAGTGCTACAGTTATTGCATGGCAGAGGGACCCTGTACAGACATGAATCTCTGCATCGGCGCTCGGCAGTGTGATCTGAAGAACTGAAGAGTAATGATGATGTAATGATGAACCCATCAAGGATTTTCATACAGGTCCACTTTAATCTACCACTGTTCAGTCCCTTTCCCGCTGCCAATCTAGCCCTCTGATTGGTCATCCAGGTTTATTTGCTGCAGACTAACTGTGCTTTTCTTGTACTACACACAACAAAACATCACACAGCGAATGGCGGAACATACGGTTACAGCATCATACATGGAAGGACAAGCATTCTGGGTGTCACACTGGTCCAGAATTTCAAATAAAAAGACAGATTTCCAACTCAGTAGTTGGGACCAAACTGCCAGTTCTTCTATATTTACCACTCAACAAAAATCTGAGACGCAGAATCACAATCAACCACTGATACAGTACCTGCTCTGCTATTTAAAGTTTAGTTAAGACATACTGTTGTGATCCCAGGATTCCAGTGGTGATTTAATTTCCCTCAAGGCGCATGGGAGAGGGTGCACACTTCAACAACAAGGAATATTTTGACTGGGTTGGAGCCCAGTCTGCACTAAACCTAACGCGTTTGGTTTTAAAACACTTCAAAACATCACAGCGAGGCCACCAAAGGCACCCAGGGGACTGCGGGACCGCCCAGCAATTACTGAGACTTAAAGGGAATGTTTGACATTTGAAGGTTTGTGTTGTTTTTTTAATGCAGCCATCAATTTGAGTAACATGGACAAGTTTACCTTCGGTTGACAAAGTATACTGGATAATGAGATGTGTCTCTACACACGTATGTGTGTTTGTGTGTATAAATACATATAACGATAAAAGACATGTCAAACAAAGCATCGGCTTTGTTAAGCATTAGCTCTTTTAAATAACTGCGCTAACTGTGCTAATGGCTTCTGTTTGTTAAAGAGATGTATGTTCATGGTACTCAAGATGAAAGAGTGCAGTTATTGCAGTCTGTCCCTGTCATGTCGAAAGATAACTAAGCAGATGAGTCGGTGACCAGTTCCAGAAAATTCTTTTAGCTAGCACCTGTAGGTTAAGAATTGCCCTAGCGCTATGTAGCAACTATCTGAACGGAAAGATTTGAAACAGTTTTAAAAAGTCAAAAATAAAAATAAAAACTGAAAACTACACATTGACTACACACATTGATGTTTGTCTGACATATAAGCGGATATGTAATAAGGATAAGCTAAGGGTCGAGTAACTCTGGCACCTTAATTGTGAATCAATTGCCGAGCAGCTAACAACATACAATAACGCAAAGTCTAGAAATCAGGAAACCTGTGATAATATATTTACATTTACAGTGTGAACTGTTTGAATTGCGATACATTGGAGATTTCGTTTAACTTTAGAGAGACTTCAGTTTGTTTGTTTTGGTTGTTGTTTTTGGATCATTTTGAACAGTACCAGATTAGCATATCTACATATCGTCTCCTAAATTAAGCTAACTGCATCTAACTGCTAGCTTCAAGTTTTACAGCAAACATTAAGTTTTTTCTTCTTTTTTTTCAAGAAAATATGTACTTATATATTTAAACCTGTGTATGTGTGGGGAAAACAGTAGTTTTAGATTATATGTCAGCAAGCATAACATTTTTTATTTCTCTAACTTTAAAATATTATTATATAATTATATAATACTTTATAAAAAAAAGTATTACTATCAAAACAAAAACCATAAAATAGAAAAGAAAATGGAACAATTTAGGCTATTTAATTGTTTATTTAAAAAAAAAGTCTACCATAAACACAGAGGTTTATTATATACCTTGGGCAAGTGGTTTCCCCACAACTGAAAACCACTGGTGTAAGTCATCAGTACACTGTCTGCTGTGGGAATAAGCTGAACCCGCAGAGACTGTAACAAGACAGCTTGACTTCACACGTTTCAAAGGGAAAATGGTTGAACTGTTTGATCATTAGTGCAAAAATAAAATTAACACCTACTGTATTAGCAGGTCAGCGAGACCTCATTTTTTTTTAGCAGAGGCTAAAAAACCTTCGACCAAAGTTTTTCTGAGCTGAAGCATTGACCTCTCTCTCCCCTGAAAAAACCCAGGAGATTCACTTTTTTTTCACATAAATACAGTACTGCTTGGACGATTATCTGCTACGAGGCTGTGCTTGCCCTAAAGGAGCAGGAAGGGAAGGAAGAGGGACCATCACAATATACAGTGCAGAGAGAAGGGAGAGGACAGGTAGCATAGACCAACCACAAGACAGCCATATCTACTGCAGATACTGAGAGACTAACTATCCAGTTTGGTAATGATATCATCTTAGTATTACAGACACTTGGAGTCTTTGCTCCAGCAGCTTTGTTACATCTCTTTTGTTTTCTTTGTCTTTTTCCGACAACAACAAAAAGGAAACCAGAAAAGAAAAGGAAGTCAACTATAGACGCAACATAGCAGTTGCCGGGTTTTTTTCGTTTTGTTTTTTTACTGCTCCAATCCATTGTGATGTCATCTTGGCCCTCTAAAGGAACTGCGGTGAAGGTGTGTTGGGGCACACGGACTGTCCTTGCTGTATATAATCAGAGCTGTAGGGACATGGATTGGTTGGAAAATATGGGTGTTTTCTTGCCATGTCGCTGCCCTCCACTCCCCACCCCACCACCACATCCTCTGGACCCCATACTCGTCACTTCCACAGCTGAGTGCTGAGGGTCTGGCCTGAAGCCGGCGATGGAGCTGCGGGCCAACCGGCCCCAGGGGTGCCTGATTGGCTGGACGCAGCTGGCGCAGGCCCTCCACCACTCAGAGCCATGCCTGACATCTGCTGGGTCATCTGAGATAGAAAACAGAGGAGAAAAGTTACTGTTTGAGTTCATCAGAGCAAACACAGAGTTATTCTGTCATTTCAGAGCCTGGAGGTGAGTGTTGGGGTTTCTCCATCCTTTAACTCCACTTCCTGGCTTATTTCCAACCCTCTTTAACATCCCCTCTGTTCATAAATGCTCCCTGCCCTCTCTCCTCTCTTTTCACAATCCCTCACCCTCTTCCACATCCCTAACTCACTCCCCTTCTTCCCTCCATTCGGTCTTATCTATTATGAATGTGCTTTGGTGCAGTGCTGCTCACTTATCTGGTCATCAGAGAGCTGAGAGCGTGTGTGTAGGTACTGTGTGTGTAGTAATGCATGTGTGTCAGCTAACCAAGCACTCATCAGCTCACCGTTCCATCTTCTGCACAAAATGTGCGTGCGCGCGC